CATTGATTTGGATTTGATCAAATAAATTATTCTTTGATTTGAATTTGATCAAATCAAATATTCAAATATCAAATCGATTGCGAAACCCTATGTATCAGTAATTACATTTCATATACATTTGGTAATTGTGATATTAATCATTTCAATATTTGTAATATTAACAAATGATTTTGGTAGATCACTATAGTTAAATAAGGTGTTTAAGTGTTATTTCTTTTATAGGTAGCTTACTAAATTCATTAGAATAATTGTAATAATAGATCCATTTTAATTAAAAAAAACTTAATTAAAAATAAAATTTTGTTTATTAAGAAAAGAAAATAAAAGAAAATAGAAGAATAATGAGAACATTAGAATTGAACTAGAGAAAACCTAACTTCCTGCTTTTCAATATTTACAAACCATCCTATTTATATAAACAATTTACATATAATAACAATTTAACTATATTAGTTATATAAATACTGGTCAAAATCAAAAAAATTACTATTTGTCATTTATTAGCAATTCAGACTAAATTCAGAAATCAGTCAAAAATCATCTATTGTATTTATGACCTATTTATGGTAGATTGGAATTGAGCCAAAATCAACTCTGATTGGTCTAATAAAATAATACAAAACTTGTACAATTGGAAAAATTATCCCAAAAATATGATAGTAAACAATCATTCCAAATAGAATAATATAATCATTGTTCAAAAAGAACAATTCAACATCATTTCAATCAGATGATGCAAATTTGATAGGAATGATTAAAAATTATCTCAAAAGATACATTATTATTCTTATTGAACCATTTGAAAAATCATCTCAAAGGGACTGACTAAATTCAGAAATCAGCTAAGAATCAGCTATTGTATTTATGACTGATTTATAGTAAATTAAAATTGAGCCAAAATCAACTCTGATTGGTACAATATGACAATACAAAAATTGTATAATTGGAAAATTTATCCCAAAAATATAATAGTAAACAATCATTTCAAATAGAACTATACAATCATTGTCTAAAAGAATGATTCAATATCATTTCAATCAAATGATGCAAATTTAATAGAAATAATTAAAAATTATCCCAAAAAAACGATACATTATCATTCTTAATAAACTATTTGAAAATCATCCCAAATGAATGATACATCATCATTCTTATTGAATCATTTGAAAAATCATTCCAAAGGAACAATGAATTATCATTCAATAAGAATAATTTAAAAAATCATTTCAAAGGAACAATAAATTATTGTTTAATAAGAATAATTTAAAAATCATCCTAAAAAAATGGTAAATCTATTGTTCATTAAGAATAATTAAAAATCTGAAAGGAATGATGAATCATCATTCTTATTAAACAAATTATCATACTTATTGAACGATTTAAAAAATCATATTAAAGGGACAATAAATCATTGTTATTATTGAACAATTTAAAAAATCATCCTTTTGGAATGATAAATCATCATTTTTATTGAATGATTTAAAAATTATTCTAAAGGACAATATATTGATCATTCATTAAAAGTGATTAAAAAATGGTTCTTTTGAAATGATAAATCATTGTTCTTATTGAATGATTTAAAAATTCATTCTAAAGGGATGATAAATCTATCATTCATTAAGAATGATAAAAAATCTTTCTTTTTGAATGATGATCATTCAATTTGAACGATAAATATCATTTCTTTTAAAATAATAATTATTTGATTTGAATTATAAAATATTGTTTCTTTGGAATGATAATCATTCTATAAGAATGATAAAATATTGTTGCTTTTGGAATAATGATCATTTTATAAAAACGATAAAATATCTTTCCTTTTAGAATGATGATCATTCTATAAAAATAATAAAAATCATTTCTTTTAGAATGATGATTGTTCAATTTGAATGATTTAACATTATTCTAATCAGATGATGCAAGATCGTCTGATTGGAACAATCAAACTATCATTCTTTTAGAATGATATACTATCATACAAATTAACATCATCATTCTAATCAGATAATAAAAAGTCATCTGATTGAAATAATTAAATTATCATTCCCTAAAAAACAATACAAATCATTCAATAGAAATGATATTTCAATTGGACAATAATACAATCATCCAATTGGCTAGAATAATTATAAATAAATTTTGGATAATCAAAAACTTTTAGATTAATCTGAAAAAAAAATTTCCTTTTTTTTTAACTTTTTTCCTCTTTTTTCTGTATTTTTTTTCTTATTTTGAAGATTTTTACCATTTTTTTAGGAAAATTCTCATTTCAGAAATGTGGTAAATCATTCTTTGGATGAAATTTACCTTTTTCCTTATTTTTCTTGTTTTTTTTTTAGGAAAATTTTCATTTTAAAAATAAGTAAATTGGAAACAAATTTTGGGTGAATTTTCCTTTCTTTTTTTTGTTTTTGTAGGAAAATTTGAAATAAGATAAGTAAATCAAAAGCAAGTTTTTGAGCAGATTTTTTTTTTTTGTTTTTTAAAGAAATTTCTTATTTTGAAAGTAAGAAATATAAATCTGAAGTGACTTTTAAGTATAGAAAAATTTATCTTAGAATTAAGGTAAGCAAATCATTGGTGAATTTTTAGGTAAAAATTTATCATTTTAAACTATTAGAAAAAATAGTATAATACTATTCCATGATAATTATTTTTGAAAAGAAGTTAAATCAATTATAATTTCTATCATACTCAAATAATTAATATATTATTTTAATTTTACAAGTTGAAAAGTATTAGTATAACTAAAATAAAATCTGAAAAATACTAGTATAACTAAAATAAATATACTAATAATCACTAGTCAAAATAATCCATTTCATTGCTTTTTAATGTGCTGAATATTAGTCTAATTTCTGCTTATCATTGCTAAAATAACCAGCATTTTTAGTTATAGCTGAAGTTGCCCAATTCTGATATTAAACAAATAAATATCTATTATTAATGATTGTTAGTTGCTTGATATATTATTAAGTAAAATAATATAATTCATCACATTTTAACATAATAAAAGTTAGCTAAAATGAGATTATTATTTCAAAAGAAATGATAAAATTATTATTTAAACATAACAATAAAATAATTATCTTTATAAGATGATTAGACAATTATTTTATGAGAAACAATAAAAATAATCATTTCTAATAGAATGATAAGACTTCATTTTAAACAAATAATAAAATTATCATTCTTTTGGGATGATTAAATTATTATTCTCATAAAATAATTAAATTATTGTTTCATTAGAAATGATAAAAATAATAAAAATATAATAATTTCAAAAAAAATGATAAAATATAATTATTCCTAATAGAATGATAAGATTAACTTTCTTTTAGAATGATAAAAATCATCATTTTTATATAAGATTAAACTATTATTTTAAATGGTATGATAAAATCATTATATACATGAAATAATTATTTAATTAAAAATATTAGAAATAATAAAATAATCATTTCTAATAAAATAATAAAAATATAATCATTCTAAAAGAAATTGTAAAATATAATTCTTTCTAATCAAATGATAAAATCATTATCTTAAAAGTAATGATAAAATTATTATCCTAAAAGAATAATTAAATTATTATTCTTATATAATAATTAAACTATTATTTTTAATAGAATGATAAAAATATAATCATTTTAAAAAGTATGATAAAATATAATTATTCTTAATAGAATAATAAGATTATCATCTTAAAATGATAATAAAATAAGCATCATAATTAGAAAAAAATAATTCAATTGAGTTGTAACTTGTGGCATAATTAAATTTTCTTATGGCACAATTAAGTTGCAGCTCAATTGAAATTTGAAAATAATTATGAGGACTATCTTAATTCCAATTGAATACTGTAAAATCATTTGATTAAAACTATTAAATTATCTTTTTCTAAAGAATAATATATAAATTGTTTAATAGAATGATAAAAGAATCATTTTTCTTTTTTTTAATTTTTTTTCTGTATTTTTCTGTATTTTCTTTTAGAAATATTTTTATCTTGAAAATTTTTTTACCAATTTTCTTTTTTCTTTATTTTTTAGAAAAATATTTATTTCAGAAATAAGATAGTTATTTGAAAGTAATTTTTTGGATAGAAATTTACTATTTTTCTTTTTTTTCTTAAAAAAATAATTTAATATTATACTAATTTTCTTTTATATTTTTTAATTAAATTAGTAAAGTGAGTTTTTTTAAAATCTCTTTATGTTAAATCTAATTTAAACAAAAAATTATCTTAAAATTTAAATAATAATAATTTATGAGAAATTTCTATGTAATTGAAATATCTTTTAACTTAATATTAAAATTAATATTTCTGATAATAATTATAATAATTAATAATTATTAGTATTATTTATTTCATGAGAGAGTAGAAATAAATGAATAATCTCCAGAGCATATCACTTAATATCAATTTTTGAATACAGTAAGATAATTAGATATGGTTAACTATTTATAAACAATTTATTAAAATTTTTACAAATATTTTTCCTTTTTTTTATTTTGCAAAAAAAAAAATGTCAAACTCATGATTTACTTCATTAATAAAAGAAATTTTAGAATTACAATAAGCATTAAGAAACATAAATACAGAAAATCAAAAATACATAGATGAATTTATTTATGAAATTTCACAAATATCATAAATATTCAAATGAAATTGTTGAGTTAAATGATAAAAATTATCAAACTAATTAGAACAATTTTTAGTAGAAGTAAGAAAATCTAATTGTTAAGAATATAAAGCATTATCACTTTATATTGGATTTTGTGTTTTAGCACAAGAAATATCTGAAATATTTGAAAAAAGTAGAGTTGTTTGATAATCACCAATTTAAAAGTTTACATAGAATTTTAGATGGCTGAATGAAATCTATTACTAATCAAGGAAATAAAAAATCATAAGCAATCAAATCTTTTAGAAATCGATGAAATTAAATTTATACTTAATTTAAAAGTTACTGCAACTAATACTCTTAAAGAACTTTTACAAAGAGTGTGTATTTGGTTAACTTTATTATGCTATTTAAGAGATGGTAATACTAAAAGGTTAAAAGCTTCTTGGATAAGTAAAATGGATGATAGTGGAATGCAACTTGAATTACTTAAAGAAAAAAATCAAACAGGAGGAATTAAAAATCTATATGCTATATTTGGTATTAGTTTTATAACACCTAATACTTTAGAAAATATTTATACTCCTGTTGCAGATATTAAAAAATACCTATCTAGATGTCTTAAAAATGTTGAATAGGATTACTTTTTCGTTTCAATTAATATGTTAACTTCAGAAATATTTTGTGGTTGTGGTGGCATTTCCAATCTTCTAACACGTCTAATTGTTCTACGAAGAGCGTTAACTGAAGGAATATAAAGATGAATTTCCTTCGGCATACTAATAATATTATCTTGAATTATTTTTGCAGGTTTATCTCTTGTTTCAAAGGCTTGACGTTTTATCTGAGCGGTAATTTTCGCTACTTCAGCATTACTTGCTTGGGGTCCATGGTTATGATCAACACAACTTCGAAGGTAGTGCATAAGTTTGTTGCTGCACGGCCTTTACATCCTTCTGATTTTCGTTTTTCCCAGCACCAGTAAAATATGTTTTCACGGCTTCATTCCTTTACCATCAAATATCCATGAACTTTGATTTTATCATTTCCATTTTTCGATGGTACAATTTCACAAACCTCATCCATTTTTACAATAGGTTAGATTAATAAAATATTATGGTGAAGAAAACCAGGTTTTAAGTTCAAGAAAACAAAAGATTTAAAACGATAATTAAGAAAACAAAAAATTTAAAACGATGATTAAGAAAACAAAAACAATCTATGCAGGTAAATAAATATTTTTGATCAGGTGGAATCACGCGATACTGGGGCCACAAATCATTTTTCATTGATTATTTGAACTCTGTTACTAATTTATTAATATATTTCATGATCATCTTATGAGCTGTCAGGATCTTGAACATCTCGATCATGATCTTTCGGGATCTCTACTACCGGGATCGCAAACCATTCGGGATATTAGAATTTCGGGATTCTATCTGTCGGGATTCTGGGGGATCCCATTTTTAAATAAAATTATGATGTTTTTATCATAAGTCACACTTAGTGCGACGAAATAAATCGCATGATTCCCGGTCACAATATAATGATCACGTGTAAATATAATGACTTAGTAAATCAAATTATCTAATTGCATTGCTCATAATAGTAATAAAAAATATCGGTCTATGAAGATCAGCATGATAGCTTGCTTAATAAACAAATATTTGGATTTTTCGTCACAATCAAAATGACGTACAACTTCATAAAGTTAAGTCTTGCATTTTTGTATTTTAAGCGATATCAAAAAAGTCCACATTTAAGAAGAAAAAGAAAATTATGCGACACGACTACGTGAATTTATGTGCTTAAAACGTTATTGTCATGGGATCCTTTTATATCACACCCTTTGTTTATTTACAATGAATCTTGTGAACTTTGCGAGGAATTTATTTTATAACCTGTGAAATCAAACATTCGGATACCAAAACTTTTCTGTATAATTTTCATTGACTTACTATGCCATCTATATTTTCTAGCCTTCATTACGGTTAATAATTAATAATATAAGGCCACGAACAAATAAAGTAGTTAGTGAGTGAAAAAAATTCCATTTAAATTATTTACTAATGTCAAAAACGTTTTTTATTTATTGAGTATTTAAAAACTTATTTATGTATATACAATTGTTTAAAAAAATATATGTTACCAATTTTATAAATAATATTATCGTTCTAGTGAGATTATTGTCCTCGATGAGAACGTCCACGTCGAGATTGTGATCTAGAAGGAGGAATTCCTGGTGCCGGAGGGCCGGTACTATCGGTTGGAGCCTCAAGAGTTGATGAATCTGGCCGCGGATTTCCCGATAATGGTGAATGCTGATGTTGATATGAAGTATCACTTCCCTGTCTACCATGATGAACAAGCGTAGGTTCAACCACAATTGTCCTTGGGGGGGAATAATAATCACGTGTATTTGGAAGTTGAATAGGAAGTAAGGGTTCGGGATTTGTATTTTGCGATCCCATGTGAAGTAATGGTCTCACGATGTCATCAGATGTATCATGTGGTATACTTTGTGGAGGTGGATGTTGAATTTCTGGAGGAGATCGAGGGTGTAAAGGATCATTTTTAGTAGAGTCGTCTAAAGAAGGAGGCCTTCCACGAGGCGAACTTGATACGGATTCTTGTGAAGAACCTTCATATTTGTCTATATAATTAATTGTAATTCTCTCATCATCATTTGTTGTGTTTTGCGTATCATCTAGCGTGCTGCTTGAACTTATTGTTGATTGAAGAGGAGTTTGAGACTTTTGAGGCGTTTGAGGCGGAACATGAGGCGGTGTGGTAATTCCTGTTGAAGGATTATCCTTGGATAATGGGGGGTCGACTTCTCTAATTTCACGTGGAATATGACAAATAGTATCTTTAATAGGTGGTTTTATAATGGGAGCTGTTTTTTTTTTTTTTTTTGAAGTAAGGTACTCTCCAATCCTTCCCCTCCTTCGCTTACGCCTAATATAGTAAATTAATATGATCCCAATAATTAAGGCCAATATTATGGCTATAGCAAAAAGAACTTTTGTTGAAGCCTTTTGAAAGAATCCTGGATGATGATCGTCTGATGAAGCTTTTTCGTCCGCAATAGTGAGTTCTTTATATGTAGTACCAGGAACGTACATTTCCGTTTTTACTTTCCCATCATTTTCTGTAATGTAATTTTCTTCATGCGTACGATTTTCTAAGCAATCTTCATTATAAACATCATATTTATATTTATCATCATCGTTTTCATCATATTGGCACATAATTCAGTAAAAAAAAAAAATAAAAATAAAAATAAAAAAAATAAAAAATAGTAAAATCAAATTAATAAATGAAATGAAATTCTTTTGATATTTGACTTAATATGCGAAAAAAAAAAAAAAAAAAAAAAAAAATTTTCTTTAAAGCAAGATTTAGATTTATTAAAAACAAACCACCATTTTAAAAAAAATTTTTATGGCTATTTTATTTAATCTAGACAAAATTTTAAAACAAAAAAAAAATATATATATATATATTGTGAAAAATAACTTTTATAATAAAATCCACGATCCTTGATCAATCTCTTTCCGAATGTGGCTGTGCTCTTTTTATAAGAGAAAAAACTAAGATAAAATGGATTATTTCCTAAAATGATCAAAATTAGGAGAAAAACAACCCACACAGCCATAATATCGATAATATACTTTTACTTAATTAATCATTGTTATTATTATGATTTATTCTTGATCAAAGATTTGAAAAAAAATAAATCACATCTATCCTTTCGGAAACAAGGGAAAAACAAAAAAAAATTAATTTAATCGGAATATTTCGAAAAAGGTAATCTCATTACATCGATTAAATAAAATTAAATCGACTTTTATCACCTGATTAAATTACTGTAACCATCCATCCAACATTCATTTTAAGAAATTGGTTAATTCAAAATTTTTGAATTTTGATTAGACTGAAAAATGCAAATGAACGTACCTTCTGAAGAGAGGCTTTTAAAAAAAGAAATAAATAAATAAATAAAAATAAAAAGGATCAAGAAGTTTCATTTTTTAGCGAAGCCTCATTAAAAAAATGTATTTATACACCTTGTACTTTTTTATTATTTTTTATTTTTACGTTTCTAAAATTTCTTCATTATGAATATGCGAAATTGAAAAGATTTTCGCCTCTTTGGTTATTTTCTTCTTTAAAAATTTATTTATTAATTTTCCTTTAAAAAATTTATTCAATCAATATGATCTGATTTAAAAATTTAATGGCTTTCAGCTCTTTTTTTTAGCAATTTTTTTTTCTTAAACGATCGTCAGTTTTTATTCTAAAATATATATATTTTTCCGCAAAATACAAATTCACAAATTTATTTCACAAAGTTCTTTTGACGTTTATTTCTTGGGAATCTCCCAATATATGATATGTAATAATAATAAAAACGTGAAAAACTATGATTCTTCACAATTAAATGTGGCAGTGTAACTTTCTTTTGATAGTCTATAAATAACGGGAGTGAGTAGAGTGAGAACTGCCACTGCATAGCCTCGTCCGAAATATTGTGGCTTAGAGTGTCTCCAGCTGCGTTTGCTGCGTACGTTAATATTCTTTAGCTCTGTCACAAGATATCAGTCCGCGCAAGAATCTGTGAATATTAATAATACCAAAAAATTTATTATTTGATAACTGAAACTATGATAAAGGAAAATATAGAAACGTTAAAATAAAAATAAAAATAAAAAATTAAAGACAAAAAACATTTTTGTTAAATGAAACGTTATATTAATTTCATTAATTCTAATGTTTGTAATCAAAAAATATATTTACAATTAGTGCGGAATATTCTTCACCACTTTTTTTTTTTTTTTTTTTTTACAAAAAGCTCATCTTGAATGAGATCTAATCATTTCTTGACTTCCATTATCGGAAGTCTGTTCGGATTTTTTTTGGGTCGAGGCAAGATTGGTCATTGAAGCTGAAGCAGATATAGACTCATAAACCGCATTAGGAGCGGATGATAAATTCTGAAAAATTTCTGTGTTTTCCGGAATATCAGCGCCAAGACCATGTTTAACAATAACAATTTTTTCATGTGGATTCGATGTTAAATGGTCATCGAAATCATCACTAAAGTGGAGCGAAGGTATTTGTAGCGGCTTACGCTTTTCAGTTCCTCTTGGAATGGTAAAACCCTGTTTGCGCAGGCAATAGAAACTACAACAAACTCCTATCAATATCCCCAAGACTCCTATTAACATTCCAATTATAGCTTGTAGAATTAGGGAATTTGTTGATGATATTGAATCTTGCGCCATTTTGAATTGTCTCTTGATTAATTTAAACTCTGCTCAACGTTTCTGCTGAAGCCGAAATTGATGAATTCACGAGCCACTATGAGATGCTTACAACAAAAATGAAATGATAAAAGAAACGTATACTGAGAGCAAGGTAATTATATAACGAATAATGCACGTTTGATCTTTAAATTATAAGAGGAGAGAATGTTTTGACCGACGCGGACTTTTTTTACATATCTTTATATGGATTTTTTTTATTTATTTTTATTTTTAAAAAAAAAATAGTGTAAGTTAAAGAAAATTCTTTAAACGTCAAAAATGAGAATAAAAAAAAGGATGGTTTGTATAAAAAAAGCAAATCGTAATTGTTAATATTTAACGGCTGTGTGAATAACAATAACGGCGGCGTGGCATTTTTTTTTTTATGACTTTAAGTAACCAGTTTTCCCTTGTTACGTTGTTGAATTATTTCTTTTCAAAGCCTCATTCAGTAACGTGCATTTTGTCTTTATTTTATCTTGTTTTATTTTTTTTTATTACCTTTCGTCAAAATTGTCATTCAATACATTCAACCTACTTTTTTTATTTTATTTATTTTTATTTTAGAACGAAAAAAACACAATTTATAAGAATGAAATTTTTAGGAAGGGGATAACAATTTGTGGAACTTTGTTTTTATTATAGAAAACAAAAAACTGGGATTATATCGCATGCGTTATTTGTTTGTCCGAACATTATTTAATTGTTTCGCTGACAATGATTAGTAATACTCGGTTATGATTCTTCTTCATTTTGTCCGTTTGTTTATAATTACAATAATCACCATTTAAGTTAAATACTTGTGAAATTAGACCAATAACCATTTCGGATCATAACAAAGGTTGGTCATTAACAAAAATAATGGAATATTGAGATTTTATTTTTTTAAAAAATAAAATATATATAATGATTTTTTCACGTGACAAACAAGATCAACGGGGCTTTGCTTTGTTACTCACGGAATATGATATTTTTAGTATCTTAGGTTTAACTTTTTTTTGATGGTAAAAAAAAAAAAAAAAATCCAATTGTTTCATCATATTCTTTTGTTGCCGAACAAATACGATCTTGTACAATCTGAAGACATCTTGTCAATTTTCTTTTGGACGTAATGTTTACTTTTTTCTTTTTATTAATCTAATCGAATCACTTACTGTATTAACATCCATCTATGTCAAACCATTACGTAACACGTTTATTGCAATTACAAAAAAAAGGTGTGTTAAATGCAAAATAAAGTTGTACGAAAATAATATATATTATTTTATTTTTTTTTTCAAAAAGAATTATTTTATTTAAATGATACCCACGGCAAGCTGTGTAAGAATCCACTGTGCCTTTAAGGGAACGTAAAGGAAATAGTATAAAAAAGTGGCTTTGTTTATGATGGCAATAAACAACTTCACGTTCTCCCCCCAAATCAATTATACCTAAATAATTGCATTCTTTGCAAATCAAGAGTTCAATTTTCATTTATGTAATGGTTTAGATCACATATTTTATTCAACTTTTTATATTAAAGAATTGGTTTCATTAACTATAAAATCATGAATCGGTTCCTGAATATCTTCAATTTCTCCAGCCCTATTAAAAAAAGAAAACTTACAAGTGCATACATAAATTTAAAGATAAATGTATTATACTTTTATTAATAAAGATTTTTTATTACTGATATATTCTAATCAATTCAAAATTAAATGTCGATTTTTCTGAAATATTTTAAAAATTAATAGCTTGCATATTATTAACGTTTGCGTAATGCCATAAACTTAAAACACAAGTTAACTTTAAGAAACATGTAATACATTTTAATATCCAAAAAAATTTTTTTCTTAGGTGCTATGCACAAATCATAATTTTTATATTATATGAAACAGGATAATTTGGAAGAAAATTACCAAGTAGGATTTAAAGTTAAGTTATTAAAGCGTGAAATAAATCGATAAGTAAGAATATTTTTATTGAACAATAGCATTCATTACGAAAAGAAATTCAATAAAAATTTTTATGTATTCAATTTAGTTGACGTAATCGATAGTAAGCGATTGATACAAAACGGTATCATTTGATTACAAAATAAAAAAGGTTTATTGCTTCAACTCCAAATGTTCGTTCCATCCTTTCAGTTCTGGATTAACTTAACCAGCGAAATATTTAAAATTCTTATCGCAAAAGTTAAAACACAAGAAAAATGATGACGTTTAAAAATATTAAAGTAACATTAGTAAGGAGTCTGTCGCTGAAATATATCAAGTATTTTGAAGTAAAGTTGAGAAAAACTTAAATTGAATAAAAAAAATCTAGCAGTATTCTCAAATTTTGGAAAGGATATATATAATTAAGTAATGGAGTATTTGTATTTTCATTTGATTTTGTATAATGAAAATTCAAAAAAAAAAATTCAATAAAATAAAATAATAATATTCAATAGGTCGATTTATTTTTATTAAAAAAAAATATAAGTATCTCAATTTTGATGTGTATTCATAACTTCTTGGAAATAAAATGTCGATGCGAACAAACCATCAATAAAAAATAAATCCTGTAACACAAAAATTGTATAGCGATAACGATAAATTTATCTACTTAAAAGTCACTATTGTCACTATTGTCATATGATTGTATCGGATCATAAATAAAATACAACTGCTAAATCAAAAAAGGATTATCTTTTATCCGTGAAGTGATATTAGGCTGATTTTTAATCTTTATATGAAATAACTCTTAAAATATACTGCGTCACACAATATTATTTATAAAATTTCTGATTGTATTATTAAGAATGTTTAAAGTTAAATTGAATTATTTTGATTTTTTAATAAACTTATTATAATGATGACTAGTGATTTATAAGATTTGTCATGAATAAAAGATATATTGATACTCCTGATATTAACAATACATATTAACAAAGTAAAGCAATGTTCTTAGTAATGATATACGATAGAGACAATAATAAATACAGTCAGACCTCCATATAGTCACACACTATATAGTCACACCTCTTTATATGCACCCGATTTGCTGTATAATTACTATCACCACCTATTATTTTATTACTGCGGTTTTCAAAATTATGTGAATTTCAATTTTGTAGTAGATCGGCAGCAAAAAAAATCGTGATTTCTTGATTTCTACCAAAGCGTATCATCTGATTTTTGTGAGAGTGTGCTTATATTGAAATTTTTTTCTACAATAAATTATTTCAGAACCGTACTAATATTATACTTAAAACATAAGCTATACCTTGTAAGCTTTGCCAGAATTCTTCGAATACTTTTTTTCCGAATTCCATAAATTAAAAACGAATTTCGCGAATTCCATACGAATTCTACAGAATTTTAGTGAATTATGTTTGCTAAGACTAAATTTATGAAGGTTTGGAGTTTCTTTTTTTTTAATAAATTGTGAGTATATTTTTGATTTTATATTTATATATTTACTTCATAATCTAATTCGATATATAATTTTGTTAGAAATGAAAAATTTAAGTGAGGATTTAAAATATTTAAAATGGCGTGTTGTATTTTGTATCGCGAAAGGGTACACACAAAAGAAAACTGCAGAAAGATTATATATTAGCATAGGAACCGTTAATAAAGTTTATAATATATATAAACATTGGGTTATGTTATTGATCCATTTTGTAGAAATCAAGGAAGAAAGAAAACATTTAATACACATGATATGAAGGTATTAAATTTTTTAAATGAGTTTTTTTCTTTTAAATTTTTAAAATGATCATTTATTACATAATTTTACTAATAGGTATTACAGGAACTTATTAAAGGAAAGGTTGATTGGTTCTTGATGAATTAGTTTATGAAATGACTCAAAGAACTGGTAAAATAGTATCTGTTCCAACTTTATGGAGGTCTTTAAATTTTTGTGGGATTAATAGAAAAAAAGTAAGAAATATATCTTGATTTATAATTTGAATCCTTTAATTAAATAAACACAATTGTTAGTATTTATAATTATAGTTACGGAAAGCTGCAAGAGAGAGAAGTGAATTGTTGAGAAGTGAATTTATGTTAAAAATAAGTGAATTTGGTTCTGAATGATTAATTTTTATAAATGAAACTGCTAAAGATGAACAAAGTTTAAGTAGAGCTTATGAATATTCTGAATTAATACAAGAGCAAAAAAATCAGTTGTATTTGTAAGGGATATTAGGTATACTATTTTACCAGCTTTGGGGGGGACAAGGGCAGTTCCCACTAAGAAGGAATCTGCTTTCCAATGCCTTCTTGCTATATTACTTTGTATTTCCTTTCCATTTCTCGCATCTCTAGCTCATTATAATTACTAATTATATTTCTTGCCTGGCTGGAGACTCCACAATCTCAG